ATGACTCAGCAGAGCACAGAGGATTTTTAGGGTAGTGAAAACACCTTGTAATGATGGATACATGTCATACATTTGTCCAAACCCATAGAACGTGTAACATCAAAATGACCCTAATGATGGGGTATGTTGATAATGGCAGAAGCTATGCACCTGTGGGGGCAGGGGTTATATGTATGAAATCTTTGTACCTTGGGTCAGTTCTGTGAACCTAAAACTGCTCTTACAAAAAGTTTGAAACAAAACAGTCATTCTAGAATTTTGCAATTGTTGAAAATATCCTTCAAAAATGAAAGTGAAATGGAAACATCTTACATTGAGCAAAAATGAGAGGATTCCTGTCCGGTAGACCTGCACTATAAGAAAAACCAAAGAAATATTCAGGATATAGCATTCATCCCTTTAGGATAGAGGTTTGAATTAATACCAAATGAAAATTCAGATCTTTACAAGGAATGAAGAACATCAGAAATAGTAAATTTGTGAGTTAAAATAACTTTTTCTTACCTTAAATTATGTAAGAAACAATTGACTTGACATTTTTAAAATGTAGGGTTTATAACAGAAGAAAAACTTATGATAATAGTATAAAGGTGGAGAATTGCACAAAGGGAAGTATACTGTTGTAAGTTTCTTATATATGAGGTTGTAGACTAATCGGATAAAAATGTACATTGTGAGCCCTAGAACACTCGTTAAGAAAACTAAACAGGGGATAACTAAAATATAATTAAGACAAAATTGAATAGTACAAAAATACATTTTTCCCCAAGTTTTATTTAAAGTCCATTTAGTTAACATACAATGTAATATTAGTTTCAGGTGTAGAATTCAGTGATTCAGCACTTAGAGTACCCATTGCTCATCCCAACAAGTTGCACCCCTTATTCCCCATCACATATTTCACTCCTCCACCCACCTCCCCTCTTATAACCATCAGTTCTCTATAGTTAAGAATCTGTTTCTTGGTTTTTCTCACTCTCTTTTTCTTTTTTTTTCCAAAAATACATGTTTAACCAACAGAAGTTTAAAAAGGAAGAATGAAGTATTAATAAGACAAAAAAAAAGATGATTGATTCAACTATATGAATGTTAATTAAATATAAATGGATTAAATAATTAAAATCCAAAGATTATCTGGATTTTTAGAAGAGATTTTATTTATTTGACAGGGAGAGAGATCACAAGTAGGCAGAGCAGTAGGCAGACAGAGAGGGGGAAGCAGGCTCCAGGCTGAGCAGAGAGTCCAGTGCAGGGCTCGATCCCAGGACCCTGAGATCATGACTTGGGCCGAAGGCAGAGGCTTAACCCACTGAGCCACCCAGATGCCCCATATCTGGATTTTTTTTTTTAAACCCACAGATCTAAAAATTGAATTAAGAAAGCAATTCCATTTATAATAGCATCAAAAACAGTTAAATACTTAGGAAAAATTGAACAAGAGAATGGCAAAAATTATACTCCAAAAACTACAAATCATTATTGAAAGATTAAAAAGGCCTCAATAAATGGAGAGATATTCTATGTCATGCATCATATGACTATTGTTAAAAATGGCAATATTCCCTAACTTGATCTATAACTTAATCCAATTCCTATCCGATTCTGTCTAGCTGGCATCTTTGCAGAAATGGACAAATAATCCTAAAATTCATATAGAAATGCAAGGGGTCCCAAATAGCCAAAGCAGTCTTGAAAGAGAATAGCAAAGTTGGAGGATTTACACTTTCTGATTTCAAAACTTTATACAATGCTACAGTAATCAAAATGGCATGGTATTAGCATAAGGATAGACATAGAAATCAATAGAATAGAGCTAAGAGTCAGACATAAATCCTCATATATACAGTAAGTTTTCAACAAAAGTAACAAGACAATCCAATGGGGAAAGACTCATGTTTTCAACAGATGGCGTTGGGACAGCTGGATACATGCAAAAGAATGTATTGGGGGGGGCGCCTGGGTGGCTCAGTTGTTAAGCATCTGCCTTCAGCTCGGGTCATGATCCCAGGGTCCTGGGATCGAGCCCCACATCAAGCCCCACATCGGGCTCTTGGCTCGGCAGGGAGCCTGCTTCTCCCTCTCCACTCACCCTGCTTGTGTTCCCTCTCTGGCTGTCTCTCTCTCTCTGTCAAATAAATAAATAAAATCTTTAAAAAAAAAAAAAGATTGCATTGGGTCACTTGCCTCACACCATAGGTTTTATAAGATCTAAAGATTCTTTTAACTGTGGGACACAATACAGTGACATGTAGATAGATGAAAAGCAAAAGTCTTTCTTCCTTAGAACTCCAAATGAGAGAAAGCTGCTGTGTAGGCCACATGAGGTCGCACCTGGGGACAAAGTAACAGCAAACTGGAGCTGTAGGGGGCAGCTTAGTGGGGCAAATGGGGTGGGGTTAGTTAGTTTTCATAGGCTCCCTTTAGATTGGCTAATCTGAATAATTCTGTGGGCTCTGGGACATATCGACTGTACCTGATATCTATCTCTGGGGAAATTAGAGTGGGCACATAATGGATCCAGAATGTGAGACTGTTAAGGGAAATGGTTGAGATGTGGACTTTATTAGTTGCTGGAGAAGAACTGACCAGCCTCTAGCCAGTGCCTCAGAACTGGGTCAAGACAGCATTTCACAAAACCCCCAAAGTTGTATTCCACCAAATATAAAAATTAGAATGGGTCAAAGACCTAAATGTAAGAGCTAAAACTATAAAACTCTTGGGGAAAAAACAGGCATAAGTTTCATGACATTGAATTGGTCAATGATTTCTTAGATTTAACACCAAAAGCACATGTAATAACACTGGGCTTCATCAAAATTAAAAGGTTTTGCATAAAGACAACACACAGAATAAGGGAGAATATTTGCAAATCACATATCTGATAAGGCACTTAAATCCAGAGTGATCAAAGAACTGTTACAGTTTGTTTTTATCCTTAATCTTCTGTCTGCTTGATGTATGAGATACTGAGAGGTATGCATGTTTGGTTTGCTTTTTATTTTTCTGTTAGGTACATGCAGAGTCAAGATTGTTTTGTCATCTTGGTGGATTGTTCATTTTATTTTTAGGTTGTATCTGTTCTTATTTATTTGGCATATTTCACTTTAAATTTTGAACACGTGGTTAAACTATCTCCAGGTTTGCTGATACGTGACCCATAGCTCCTACCTTAAATTGCATGGTGTCTGTCCTGGCCAGCCCCTGCCCAAAGACTTGGGTATGGCTAGCTCTACTTTAGGAATCTATCTGGTGATCCTTTACTCTAACCAAAGATACTCCTCTCAGGTGACATGGGTTATCTCCCAGACATTGAAGCAAGACCTCTCTTAAGACAAAGCCAAATTCTTTACTAGTACACATATATGTAAATTTTATAAGTTTATTTCAGGATTTGGAGGAACATGTGCTGAACTGAGGATAGTAGTTCATTCATTGTGGAGAAAAGTGAGAGTGGTGCTAGTAAAAGGGTACTCAGCTTTATCTGTATGTTTAAATTTTCATGTACTGCATAATTTTTTAATTACTTTAAAATTAAAAGACTAACTCAGACTAACTTTGGGAAAACGGAAAGAGAAGTTCCATTCAATTAAATGAAATTCATTATATCCAGATATGGAAAGATAAGCCATCAGGAGGAATTCCACTGTTCTGAAAAAGATGAGAGTAGACCAATTATTTCAAGATACATGAAGTAACCATGGTTATGGTCTGGGCCTGACTTTGATATAGCTATCAAGTTTAAAATGAAACATCAGGAATGTGTAAATAATAGAATGTATACTATTTGAAGAAATCATTTACTTATAGTAATCTAGTATCCTCCTTGTCAGTTGTTTGTCAAGTTTTAGAATTTAGTATATAATCCTTGGCTCACTGAAAATTAGATTCTATAAATATGAACATTTGTTAAAGCTACATGTTGGGTACATGGGTGTTATATTCTCTGTGCTTTTTTTATGTTTAGAATGCCATTAGGTTATTAAACTCCAGAGTGATTTATGACTGCCTAGGAATAGAGGATTTTGTGTACCTTCCCATCCACTTATTGGGTTCTCAGTCTAAGAAGGATGACTTTCCAAGATAGAGGAGCATCACTCTTTCATCAAATATATAGAAACACATTTGCTTCTTTTCAAGACTGCCAATAATATGAAGAAAATAGAAATTATTTAGAAGAGTTATAAAATTATAAATGTTGGGATTTTTTAGAATGGGAAAAAAAAATTTGGTGGCAATTTCTTAGTAATTTACATGAAAATATGAAGTTTTAATCTCAAAGGTGGTTTGGCAGGTGGGAGGTTTGGGGATCCAGAGGAGCACTCCTATCTTTTGAGTATGTACTATAACCTGTGTCATATACTGCTAAGATCTTCTTCTTTTTTTTTCTTTTTAAAGATTTTATTTATTTATTTGACAGAGATCACAAGTAGGCAGAGGCAGGTGGGAGGGGAAGGGGAGCAGGCTCCCTGCTGAGCAGAGAGCCCTATGCGGGGCTTGATCCCAGGACCCTGAGATCATGACCTGAGCCAAAGGCAGAGGCTTAACCCACTGAGACACCCAGGCACCTCCTGCTAAGATCTTCTTATCTGGTTTCTCATTTTAATCTCTTGCCCATTTATATAGGCCTCATCTCTCTATAATAAATTATTATAAATTAGGAACTCAGAGCTCTTAAGAAAAAAGAGTATGTGCAGTATCACCAATAGTACCACTAAGAGAAAATATCAAGTGTGACATACATTTTTTAGATTATAAGGAGTAATGTTTACTAATGGTGAAAATTTTTAAGCACTGTGGTTGCTCACCTATGAGAATTTGCCGACTTCTTTTCCCTCTCTGGAAGCAATAAACTTATTTTTGTGATGGTTTAAAAATGATTCTGCCTGAAGGCAGAGGAGATAGATCTCATGAGCTTACCAAGTTTCTTCTAAGTTTTAAGATCCTGTAGTTCGGTATTTTTGTGATCTTGATCCTGTTTTTATTTATTTCCTTTATTCCAGGTGGATGATATAAATGCAGCTGTGATGGATTTGAAAGAGAAGAAGATTCGTAGTCTAAGTGAAGAGGCCAAAATAGGAGCACATGGAAAGCCAGTGATTTTTCTCCATCCTAAAGACTGTGGTGGTGTTCTTGTGGAATTGGAGCAAGCTTGATTTATATTTGCAAGAAACTTTAAAAATCCCCACCAAAATATACTGAAAATCCCCAACGAATTATACTCCAGCATTGAATCCTTCACTCCTTCCATCACTTAAAAGTTCACAATTAAAGGGACACCTGACTGACTCAGTCAGCAAGGCGTGTGACTCTTTATCTCAGGGTGGTGAGTTCAAGCCCATGTTGGGTGTGGAGATTACTTAAACATAAAATCTTTTAAAAAAGTTCAAAATCAAAAATTAAATTACAGGGGTGCCTGGGTGGCTCAGTCGGTTAAGTGTCTGCCTTCGGCCCAGGTCATGATCCCGGGGTCCTGGGATCAGGCCCCAGGTGAGGCTCTCTGCTCCGCGGGGAGTTTGTTTCTCTCTCTCTCTCTGCCCCTCCACCCACTTGTGCTTTCTCTCTCAAATAAATGCATAAAATCTTTTAAAAAAAGCAACCTAAATTACAGAAAGAGATTTTTTAAGTTGTATATATATATAATATTTATCAATATATATAATTGACATATTTGTTAACTACTTTGGGTTTTTTTCTGATTTGGAGGAATCCTTGATTAATAAATACATAGGGAATATTGTTACAATCATATTCATAGAAATAAACTATTCTTGTCCAAAATGGGGTAATTGACTACAGTATGTTTCTGTGTGAGAGTGTGTGTATCTGCATGCTTGCACGTGCGTGTGTGAGTTGGGATGGAGCTATGAAAGGGTGCCTGGCAGTTGCATAGCTACATATTTGGGACAAAGTGCTTTCTGAGGATGTTATGGAGAGTTTTTTACACTGATGTTAAGGAGTTTCAACCTCAAAAGTTTTTGCTCTTCTAGAACAATTCTTGTTCACCGGTTCCATATGGGCAGGTATTTTGGGTGCTAATGCTAGATATAGGAGTAAGAAATTTTGTGGAAAACTTCATTCATGATCTAGTGAGTGCATAGGTAGCTGATTTTTTTAATTCTTTATTTAAATTCAGTTTAGTTAACATATACTGTATTATTAGTTTCAGGGGTAAAATTTAGTAATTCACCAGTTTTATATAACACCAGTAGCCATTACATAAAGTGCCCTCCTTTTTTTTTTTTAAGATTTTATTTATTTATTTGACAGACAGAGATCACAAGCAGGCAGAGAGGCAGGCAGAGACAGAGGAGGAAGCAGGCTCCCTGCAGAGCAGAGAACCTGATATGGGGCTCGATCCCAGGACCCTGGGATCATGACCTGAGCCGAAGGCAGAGGCTTTAACCCACTGAGCCACCCAGGTGCCCCATAAAGTGCCCTCCTTAATGCCCATCAACCAATTATCCCTTGCCCCCATCCACATTCCCTCCAGCAACGCTGTTTGTTTCCTATGGTGTAGTGTCTCTTATCGTTTACTTCCCTCTCTGTTTTCATCTTATTTTATTTTTTCTTTACTTACCCTATTCTCATCTTTTTTGTTTCTTAAATCCCACATATGAGTGAAATTATATGGTATTTGTCTTTCTCTGACTGACTTATTTCAGTTAGCATAATACCCTCTACTCCCATCCATGTCACTGCAAATGGCAAGATTTCATTCTTTTTGATGGCTGAGTAATATTCCATTGTATATACACACCACATCTTTATCTGTTCATTTGTTGATGGACATTTGGGCTCTTGTTGATGGACATCTGGTCTCTTTCTGTAGTTTGGCTATTGTGGACACTGCTGCTATAAACATTGGGGTGCAGGTGCCCCTTCAGATTACTATGTTTGTGTCCCTCGGGTAAATACCTACTAGTGCAATTGCTGGGTTGTAGGGTAGCTCTATTTTTAACTTTTTGAGGAAACTCCATACTGTTTTCCACAGTGGCTGTACCCGCTTGCATTCCCACCAGCAGAGTAAGAGGGTTCTTCTTTCTTAACATCCTTGCCAACATCTGTCGTTTCCTGAGTTCTTAATTTTAGCCATTTTGACCAGTGTAAGGTTGTATCTTACTGTGGTTTTGAGTTGTATTTCCTTAATGCTGGATGATGTTGAGCATTTTTTCATGTGTCTGTTGGCCATTTGTATGTCTTCTTTGGAGAAATGTCTGTTCCTTTCTTCTGCCCATTTCCTGATTGGATTATTTGTTTTTTGGCTGTTGACTTTGATAAGTTTTTTTTAATAGATTTTGGATATTAACCCTTTATCAGATAAGTTATTTGCAAATATCTTCTCCCATTTGTAGGTTGCCTCTTAGTTTTATTGATTGTTTCCTTCACTGTGCAGAAGTTTTTTATCTTGATGAAGTCCCAATAGTTAATTTTTGCTTTTGTTTCCCTTGCATCAGGAGACATATCTAGTAAGAAGTTGCTACAGCCAAGGTCAAAGAGGTTTCTGCCTGTGTTCACCTCTAGGGTCTTGATGGTTTCCTGTCTCACATTTAGGTCTTTAATCCATTTTGAATTTATTCTGTGTGTGGTATAAGAAAGTGGTCCAGTTTCATTCTTCTGCATGTGGCTGTCCAGTTTTCCAAACACCATTTGTTGAAGAGACTGTCTTTTTTCCCTTGGATATTCTTTCTTGCTTTGTTGAAGACGAGTTGATGATAAAGTTGAGGGTTCATTTCTGAGTTCTCTTTTCTGTTCCACTGATCTATGTGTCTGTTTTTGTGCCAATACCATACCGTCTTGATGAATACCCCTTTGTAATACAGCTTGAAGTCCAGAATCATGATGCTTCCAGCTTTGGTTTACTTTTTCAATATTCCTATGATTATTTAGGGTCTTTTCTGGTTTCATACAAATTTTAGGATTGTTTATTCCAGTTCTGTGAAAAATGTTAATGGTATTTTGATAGGGATTGCATTAAATGTACAGATTGCTTTGGGTAGTGTAGACATGTTAGCAATGTTTGTTCTTCCGATCCATGAGCATGGAATGTCTTCCCATTTCTTTTTGTCCTCTTCAATGTCTTTCATAAGTGTGCTATAGTTTTGGGAGTATAGATCCTTTACCTCTTTAGTGAGGTTTACTCCTAGGTATCTTACAGTTTTTGATGCAATTGTAAATGGGATTGTTTCCTTGATTTCTCTTCTGCCTTATTGTTAGTGTCTAGAAATGCAACAGATCTCTGTACATTGATTTTATATCCTGCAACTTTGCTGAATTCAACTTTGCTGAATTCCTTTATGAGTTCTAGCAATTTTTGTGTGGAGTCTTTTGGGTTTTCTACCTAGAGTATCATGTCATCTTGCAAATAGTGAGAGTTTGACTTCTTTGCTGATTTGGATTTCTTTTATTTCTTTTTGTTGTCTAACTGCTGAGGCCAGGACTTCCAGTACTACGTTGAACAACAGGGGTGAGAGTAGAGATCCCTGTCCTGTTCCTGACCTTAGAGGAAAACCTCTCAGTTTTTCCCCGTTGAGGAAGATGTTCGCTGTGGGTTTTTCATATATGCCTTTTGTTATATTGAGGTATGTTCCCTCTATCCCTATATAGCAGAGTTTTTATCAAGAAAAGATATAGTAGGGGCTCTTGGGTGGCTCAGTTGTTAAGCATCTGCCTTCAGCTCAAGTCATGATCCTGGGGTCCTGGGATTGAGCCCTGTGTCAGGCTCCCTGCTCAGCGGGGCATCTGCTTCTTCCTGTCCCTCTGCCCCTCCCCTCCACTTGTGCTCTCTTGTGCGCTTGTGCTCTGTCTCAAATAAATAAATAAATAAATAAAATATTTTTTTTTTAAAGGGAAGGATGAAAACAAAAGGGAAGGATGCTGTATTTTGTTAAATGCTTTTTCTGTACCTATTGAGAGGATTGTATGGTTCTAGTCCTTTCTTTTATTAATGTGGTGTATCATATTGATTGATCTATGGTTGTTGAACCACCCTTGCAGCCAAGGAATAAATCCTACTTGGTCATGGTGAATAAACATTTTAATATACTTTTGGATCCTACTAGCTAGTATCTTATTGAGAATTTTTACATCCATGTTCACAAGGGATATTGGTCTGCAATTCTCCTTTTTAGTTGGATCTTTGTCTGGTTTTGGGTTCAAGGTAATTTTGGCCTCATAGAATGATTTTGGAAGTTTCCCTTCCATTTTTATTTTTTGGAACAGTTTCAGAAGAATAAGTATTCATTATTCTTTAAATGTTTGGTAGAATTCCCCTGGGAAGCCATCCTGCCCTGGAATCTTGTTTGTTGGGAGATTTTTTTATTACTGCTTCAAGTTCCTTCCTGGTTATAGGTCTGTTCAGGTCTTCCATTTCTTCCTGTTTCAGTTTGGGTAGTTTATGTGTTTCTAGGAATGCACCCATTTCTTCCAGATTGCTTAATTTATTGGCATATAATTGCTCATAATATTCTCTTATAATTGTCTTTCTTTTTTTTTTCTTTTTTCTTTTTTTTTAAAGATTTTATTTATTTATTTGATGGACAGAGATCACAAGTAGGCAGAGAGGCAGGCAGAGAGAGAGAGGGGGAAGTTGGCTCCCTACTGAGCAGAGAGCCCAATATGGGGCTCGATCCCACGACCCTGAGATCGTGACCTGAGCCCGAGGCAGAGGCTTTAACCCACTGAGCCACCCAGGGACCCCGTTATAGTTGTATTTCTTCAGTGTTAGTTGTGGTCTCTCCTCTTCATGATTTCATTTATTTGGGCCCTTTCTCTTTTCTTTTTGCTAAGTCTGGCTGGGGGGGTTATAGATCTTATTAATTCTTTTGAAGAAACAGCTTCTAGTTTCATTTATCTGTTCTACTGGTTTTTAAAACTTCTGTATCATTATATTTCTGCTCTAATCTTTATTATTTCTCTTCTGCTGGATTTAGGCTTTATATGCTCTTCTTTTTCCAGCTCCTTTAGGTATAAAGTTTGGTTGTATATTTGAGACTTTTCTTGTTTCTTAAGAAAGGCCTATATTGCAATATACTTCCCTCTTAGGACTGCCTTTGCTGCATCCCAAAGTTTCTGAACTGTCATGTTTTCATTTTCATTTGCTTCCATGTTTTTTTAAAATTCTTCCTTAATTTCCTGGTTGACCCATTCATTCTTTAGTAGGCTGCCCTTTAATTTCCATGTATGTGGTCCTTCCAAATTTTTTCTTGTAGTTGACTTCAAGTTTTAAAGCATTATGGTCTGTAAATATGCAGGGGATAATTTCATTCTTTTGGTACTAGTTGAGACCAGATTTGTGACCCAGTATGTGCTCTATTCTGGAGAATGTTTCATATGTACTCCAGAAAAATGTGAATTCTGCTGGTTTAGAATGCAGTGCTCT